TCGACAAGCTGCGAGCAACTTTCACTCAGACAAAGCTTTTAATAGAAAAATTTCGTTAAAATTAATTCCATGGCAGCATTCAGAATCTGGAAAAGACAGTGGATCGCATGTGATTATACAAACATAAACATCCATTATCCGACTAAAGGGAAAAAAAAACACATCCATTAATTCCCGTTTTCTGTCCAGACGACCTCGAGGGGAAACCGATGCATTTCCACGGTCGGCTACGATATCCAGGTGAGTGACGGAAATACAAAAAAAAAGTTTAGTTTTACGTTCATACACACACACAGACGCTCTGATAAATAGTGTTTTCTAGTGACAACTCACAGAGGGGATCAAGCTGTTGGAATTCCCAGCGTGCGTGATGCACAAACAAATTCTTTTAGCTTTCGTAATGGGATTTTGACACGCGAGGGGATATCAACGGTGGACATTCTTGGGGTATCATAAACATACTTTTTTTTTTTTTTAAGAATTGTGTAGCGGTTGGTAATGAGAACTCTCTGGTTCATGTTTTCTAAATGTAATTACTTATGTTAATCTTATTTGGAATTATATTTTTTCTCTACAGTTAATGTCAAACACAATTAAATATTTTTTTCAGATAATTAAATGGAAATGAGGTTTATTTTTTTATAATAAGAAATCTCCTTTCTAGTAATGATGACTTAGCATGTTATTACATGATAATAGGAAAAAAAACACAATGTTATAATTTAAAATCCTTTGTTTCCGATTCTAAATGAAAAGGAAACTTTGTATTTTATTGAAGAAAGCTTTACTATTAATAGTTAACCGTCATAGTTCAGCGACACCCGACCCGACTAAAATAACACAAACTTTTAATTGCTGGGAAACTTAACTTTGTCCCTTTGTCATGTGGGTGGCATACATCGCCTGTCATTTAATTGACAGTCATTGATTATAAGTATAGGGCTCATTACCGTATCTGCTCAAACAAGGGTAAACACACACACAGACCTACAACCTCGTTCAAATCGCAAACGATATATTAATAGGATGTAGGCCTATGTACACGTGGTCTCGTATTCACTTAGTATGTGTAACTTTGAATTGAAACATATACATACGTACAAGTACACGTACACTCACGCACACGTACACCCATACGCACACGTACACATACATTCAAACACACACACACACACACACACACACACACACACACACACACACACACACACACACACACACACACACACACACACACACACACACACACCCTCCATCTCCTATCCTCCCTACTCTCTCTCCCTCCCCCCTCCCCCCCCACTGACCCTCACTGACCTTCACTGACCCCGCCGGCCCCTCCTCCTCCACCAGGGAGTTCCTCCGGGAGCGAGCGGACTTCCTGCGGGGCGACTACAAGGGCAGCGCCGACCACCTGGACAAAGCGGCCGGATTCTACCCCAGCCTCCCCCCGCCGGCCTTCGACGTGCCGCCCCTGTCCCTGGACCCCGAGACCCGCCGCCCGTCCGCCCACCTGATGACCACGCCCGCGCAGACGAGTGTGGCCTCCATGCCGGTCCACTCGATGCCCACCACCACCAGCGTGACCCACCCGTCGGTGCCGCAGACGACGGCCGCCCACCACGACGACCTCGACAACAAGACCAACAAGAACGACCACGAGAGGAAGAGTAAAGGTGGGTTTTTGAGTGGGGGGTGTGGGGGTGTAGGGGGTATGGGGGGTGGGGGGAGGTCATAGGGCAGGGAAAGAGGGAGGGGTGGGGGAGATGGGGCAGGGGGAGAGGGAGGGGTGGGGGGATGGGGCAGGGGGAGAGGGAGGGGTGGGGGGATGGGGCAGGGGGAGAGGGAGGGGTGGGGGAGATGGGGCAGGGGGAGAGGGAGGGGTGGGGGGATGGGGCAGGGGGAGAGGGAGGGGTGGGGGGATGGGGCAGGGGGAGAGGGAGGGGTGGGGGAGATGGGGCAGGGGGAGGGAGGGAGGGAGGGAGGGAGGGAGGGAGGGAGGGAGGGAGGGAGGGAGGGAGGGAGGGAGGGAGGGAGGGAGGGAGGGAGGGAGGGAGGGAGGGAGGGAGGGAGGGAGGGAGGGAGGGAGGGAGGGAGGGAGGGAGGGAGGGAGGGAGGGAGGGAGGGAGGGAGGGAGAGGAGGGAGGGGAGGGAGGGAGGGAGGGAGGGGTGAAAAGGGAGTGGGGGTGACGTCACGTAAAGAAGATACAAAATAGTCAAATACTCACCCACACAAATTAATAAAGAAGAAAATCACATGAAGATTAATCTAGCCTTAAAAAAAAAAGAAGAAAAAAAGAAAAAAAAACTACCCTCATATTTACGTCATCTGTGAACGAATAGGTTACGTAACGCTTTTGAATAAATCAGTACAAATAAGGGTCATTTATTATGCATAAAGGTCTGGAGGACAACAAAAAACGGTTCCAGTGACGTCATTAGAAGACAAAGAAAAGTACGTAATAATTTCCCGCCAAAAAAGAAAAAAAAAAGTTTGTGTAAA